TAATTAATAGTAGATTATGTAAGAAACACACATTTCCATAGAAAGAATTCAATAGCCCTTATTTTCTAAACATATTCTTTATTCTCCTTCCTTCAAAAACTTCCTTCATTTCAAAGAGTCAATAAATTTGATAGCCATAGGGAAAAAAGTACTTCACATAGAACATTTCCTGAAGAAAGACTTTAAGCAGGACTAAAGTATGTAAATATATGTTTATTAAATAATCCATAATGGATTATCGTTGTATAAATTCATACTTTCAGCACCAAACTTAATTATATAATCAAAAGCACCGCTTTTTTGAAGAAAATAGAGAAAGAAAGTGCTTAATGAAAAAATGCCTGTAGTTTATTTTAAGCAGGTTCTTCTTGATTAAATTATCGCTAAAAGAACCTTTAAGAAGAATAAAAAGTCCTAGTTGCATATTTTGACAAACAGAAATCGATATAATGGGTACTAAAATGAACAGCGTATAATAATGAAAATGTAAATCATAATAGACGGAGATCAAAATTTCCCTTTTTTCCTTCTTTTACTTTTTTAAATTTAAATTAGATTTATTTCATATGCAAATGTCAATGAAACTTCTATTTAACTGTGTAAGAGAATAAAGAAAAACTCTTTGATTTAAAGATGCTTTTAATGAGTGAAATGAAATTAACATTTAAAACTAACTGGTTTGTAGAAAATTTATCTTTAAAGTGCATGAATTAAGTTTGTGAAAGCTTTATTATGTATATTTTTCCGATAAAAATAATTTTCGTGCAAATTTTTACATTTTTATAGATTTACCTCGAAAACGTACAATTTTTATAGATTTTTTACATTTTTTTTGAAATGAAATTAAGCTGACTGAAAGGAAATGATGTGAATGAAATTGAATGAAATGATATAAATTGACCACAATTTATAAATAAATAAATCCTAATTAATTTCGAATTGAATAAGTCTGAAAAATCGCCTTATTGAAGAAATGTGATTTGCATTCAAGTGCATGGCATAGAAGAATACTAGAATTTAGAATGAAGGAAATTTAATTAAATGATTAAAATAAAATTAAATGAATTCACTGAAATGAAATTATTGTAAGAATCAGAAATCAATAATCAATGGTAAATCAAATGGCAATCCAAGAAATCACAAAAATAATAATATACAAAACTAAAAGTATACAAAAAAATTAAATAGTTTGGTTATTTATTTGCAAACTTTTTTGAAAACGAAATACCTGTTTTTTCCAATTCTTATTCATATTATGATGTTATTTGATTTTAAAGATTATAAAAATGATATGGTTACAGTTATTGTGCTACAGACTTTTTTTTTGCATTTTTACGTTAGTTAATAAATCTTTTTGGTAATTTCGTGTACTTAATATGTTATTTGTTCAAGATATTTGTATTCTTGCAGCGCGAAACTATTCAGAAAAAAAAATACTCTTTATGAAAAAAATCTGTTCTATAATTTTTCCAATAAACTTTTTCACACTAAGTATCAAAAAAGCTTTAATGATGCTATAAAATGACATTATTTCCTAATGGAGAAAATACAATGATAATTGTAAATAATATTTATCATATTTTTCTTCTTCTCTCTTAGTTACACTTAATAATGCATTCTAATTAGTTAAAAGCTCATTAGATTGTTTCTTTTTTATTATATATAGTAGATTATTTTTTAGCTCAATACAAATGTTCAAAATAAAACTAATTTCATTCAAAAAAAATTATTTATACTCTGTTGCAAGTTAAGAAAAAACCATTATCCTTATAAAGAGAGCCTCTTTACCTCCAAGTGTAATGCGAAATGTAAGCCCAACTCCAAGCGTGAACGAACATCAACATAGCCTAGTCTTGAAACGACGTAGCAACGGCCTTCTTTTTGCTCATAAGATATAGCACGAACTAAATTTTTGTCCAACGAGTTTAACTATTAAAATCCTTTTATATTGGTTTGAAAGCATAATTATATAATTTCATAGCTAAATAAAACGGAACTAAATGCAGTCGCGGATGAATACTTAAATTATACCGCAATGGTCTTTTCTTAATTTGCAACAGAATATAGCAAAAAATATAACTGTTTTATATTTAGCAAAATTAACTGGTACGAATTTCAAAGTTTAATTGAGTTAACAGTAAATCTTACTCAAAATTGTTTTTAAAAAAATATTCGATATAAAGTTTGTAGAATATTGATTAAATATTACTGAGATCTCAAATGAAGAAAAACGTGCGAACTCCCTTTCATGAAGAAGTACTACCAGAAGTCGGAAAGCTCGGTCTTTCCGAAAGGTGTAGTTTTATTTTTCTTTGTATGATATGTCTTAAGTTTCATCTAATATTTATGCGTTTCACATTAATTTAGCATAATTATAGAATATACTGAAATGTATAATGTAATATAATTATTAAAATTACGGAAACACATAATTTTACGCCATATATATGTAGTATTTATGCACGGTATAATTTGCACTTATTATTTAAAGTAATTTTAGAAGGTAAAGATAAACGCCATATTTATACAAAATATTAAAAAGCAAAATTATTATGTGATATTCATAATTAATAAAAATATAATAATTGAAGCTAAAATAATCACATGTTTAATATGTATACAAATGTTAAAATATACAATTTTCTCCCTGCAAATTAAAATAAATTCATTTAGAAGTTTACGAAGTCTTTAAATTTTTCTTAAAAATTATGCACCTTTCTCATAGAAACTAAGCATCTTTCTTATTGAAATTAACTGCATTTTTTATAAAAATTTAAAATTAAACGAATTACATAGTTGTATGCAGAAGTTTTTATTTCGCTTATAAAGTTCTCACGATATGGCGAAGTACGCAAAATGTAAAATTAACATTAAGGGGTCCAAATTTTGGACCCCTTAACAATTATTGGGACGATATTTCTTAGATTGCGGCAACACCGTTAATTTTGAGGGTTAGAAATCCGAATCCGGAGTAAAAAAGACGTATTTATTCAGAGAAAGTACGTTTTTGTGTCTGATTTTGTATTTTGAAATATCCTCTGCACTAATTTTTTCTCACATTTGAGATCACCCTTTCGAACCCTTAAGATTGAGTTCTAGAACGCGAAAATCTGATCATTAGATCAAGAGTTATTTAAGATGTGCCATTTTTTATTTTGAGCACTATACATGCTAAATATTAGTGATAATTAGGATTTATGACTATTGTTATTTTTAGAAATTAGAATTAGTCTATTGTTATTTTTAGAATTTAGAATTAGTCTATTGTTATTTTTTAGAATGAAATTATTGTTTATAGGATTGATTTTTTTAATTCAGAACAAAGCTTTAAATTTCTTCAGAATCGCTATAATAATTTTAAAAGTAAGTGAATTGCTTTGAACATTAAAACTTTAAGAGTCTACTGCAAGTTGAAGAAGTATTTGACAATGCTTAAAAACTGCTTGAATCAGTAACCATTATACAATGTACATTCAAAAAAGTTGACGACGTACTTTTTAGTTAGAAATAATGATACTGTATTTTTATGTAAATGCAATTTGATCAGAAAAATAATTCTCCCCAGTTTTAATTTCACATATTTCCGGTACAAAACTGGGATAAAAATTCGTAAATTCCAGCTTCTTAAAAGTATTCTTAATTTAACTGCGCATGATCACCACTCTTCCGATTATCTGCCATTCTCTTGAGTTTCCAATGGACTAGTAAGAGGTCTGCTGTTGTCTTGAATTAGGATAACTCCCTTACTATGGACTAGTGCTGGCTTAGTTTTACCCAAATGTGTTGAAAGGATCTTCATCACTTTCGTTTTATCATATCTGCTGTTGTCTTGAAGAAGGATAACTCCCTTACTACAGACTAGTGCTGGCTTTGTTTTACCCAACGGGTTAATATGATCCTCATTGCTTTCGTTTTATCAGGCCCGCCGTTGTCTTGAATAAGGATTACTCCTTTACTGTGAACTAGTGCTGACATTGTTTCACCCAAATATGTTAATAACAATCTTCCTCGCAATCGTTTTATTAGGTCGGCTGTTGACTTGATTAGCCATTTTTCTGCGGACGAGTGCTGGCTTTGCTTCATTCAATTGCGCAAATCATCATTTTTATTGCTTTCATTTCATGAGGTCTGCCATTGTCTTGAAGGAGTATAACCAGGCATCACCTGAGCACATCTTGGACTGTTTAGGGCTGGACTGGAATGACATTCATTCCTCTCCCATTCTGGTTTCGGATTTTCTGAATGTCAACGGATTCATTGATCTGGTCTGACCCCGTCAGACCAGATGGGAATTAGCAACAACAACAGGAGTATAACTCCTTTCCAGCAGATTAGTACTAGCTCTGAATGACGAGTTGCTGTTGTAGGTCTTTGCTACTAGATCATCGAGTATAGTATGCAAAAAAAAAGAAGAAAAAAACAACTTAATAACTTTAAATCTTATGATCAGATTATCCCGTACTAGGATGCAATCTCAATGGCTTGAGGGTTTAAACTTAAATGCATCATATGAAATGAAAGAATTTTAATTGAAATATAAAGTACTTGAAGTTCTTTTTTTCACAGAAGTACTTTAATCTTTAAATTAATATTTAAAAACTAAAAACTGAAAAGAACATCATTAATGGAATATTATAAATATATAATGTAATATAATAGTAATATTATGATATATATAATATTATAATATATATAATATTATAATATAATAATATATANTATTTTAATATATATAATATTATAAAATATATATACGTTCAGTCAAAACTGTATGATAATCTCCAAGTGGTCCAAATTTAATATTAATTTATTTATACTCTCAATATGAGGTTCTGTTCCGATATAGGCTCATTTTTGATAAAATTAAAATAGAATTCACAATGCATTTAAACTTGAAAACCTGATGATAAGAACTTAAATGAAGGTTTGATAAGGTCACTTTCAAAACAACACAAAAGCTAAATGGTATGAAGGCGATAAATTCGTAAAATGTTCCTTACCTTCCTCAGTACAGTATTGAGTATCCATTGAGCGACAACTTCTGGAAGAATGGGTAGAAGGCAGTAGATCGCCCCATACATTATGACTGTATCTGGAGAAGTCTTCAACTCTTCCATCCTCCTGCGAACATCCCAGAGACGCGGAATGGCCCCCTCTGTGTTCGATGGCAGTCGGACATTTACTTGGGAATACTGGCAGCCCATTGTTGGAATTGCTTCGACATTGCTGGGCTCATGCCGCAAATCGACTGGAATGTTCAGCTGGAATAAATAATAGCTGTCATTAATGAGAGAAAAAATAAATATGCAGTGCGCAAAAAGAAAAAAAAAAAGAACCAACCTGAATAACTTTTGATTTAATAATCGGATCTTGTTCAAGGATTCAATCTTAATGGTTCGAGGGGGTGACTTGTTAAATTATGCTCAAAGTTTGGCAAAATAAAACAATTTGAAGGAAATTGGTTAAATAGTTCCTGAGAAATCGAATTTTAAATGTATGACCTCTTTAAAATTCAATTTTTTAGGAATTATTCCAACATTTTCTCTGAAACTATTTATTATGTCATTTAAAGTTATATATTTTAAAACGATGTACAAAAATTATATACCTTACAATTCAAAATTTTTTCGACTTTTATTTAATAAAATAAAAACAAATAAAAATTTATTTTGTTCTATAGAATTATCTTTGAATAAGCAAATTTTATAGTTGTATGCAAAATATTTGAATTCCATTAAAAATTCTCGAGTTATGGCGAAACACGCAAAAACATTAGGATGCATTAAGACGCAAAACATTAATATTACGACGCAAAAGCATTAAGCAAACAAAATGAACATTAAGCGGTCCAAACTTTGAATCATACTCGATTCTATGAGCACCATATTCCCTAAATTGCGAATATTCTCAATATTTTGGGAGTCAGAAGTCCGAATCCGTCGAAAATGAGGCATGTTTATTCAGAGAAATTACATTTTTATGTCTGATTTTGTAACTTAATTTATATTCCACACTAATTAATTAGCATATTTGAGGTCACCCCTTCCATTAAGATTGAGTAATAAAATGCAAAGATCCGATTATTAGATCAAAGACTATTCAGGTGTTTTTTTGTGTGAGCACTGTACATAAGTAGCTTAATTTGTTATTCTGTATTAATGCAGATTATGCCACTTCATTGGCCATTGACTTGTATAAAATGGTAAAACAAATTGTACGTTTAAAAACTCACGAACTATTTTACCAAGATGGACTTTTAAAATAAAACTAAAAATTAAAACGAAAATTACGTTAAAACTATTATGCGAATAGAAAATTTCGTGAAACTAAACACGCGCTGTCTTGTTTACCTCCATGCGATTGCCCTCATTTTGCTTTTTACAAATAATGGTTATTAAAATAATGGAGATATTTCCGTATCGTGATCTGCCACACCAACTAAAATAACCAAGTAGCCAAATTGATTTTAAACGGATTTTTTTAAAAACAAAACATGTAGATGTTTTCTTGGGAATATGTCAAGATATATGGGATGTGTCAAGAACTATAAATAGGAAGCGATAAAAAGCGATTTGTTTAGTCCGAAACAAGTTAATCTGAGAACACACATATTTTCTAACATAAAGGCGGAAAGTTTGCGAATTTTTTGTTATTTTTGTAATAAGGAAATTGTTTGAAACTTGTTTTTCATTAAAGAGTGAGTAACAAATTAAAAGAAAATACAACAATTTGTCAAGAACTATAAATAGGAAACGATTAAAAGTGATTTGTTTAGTCCAAAACAAGTCCGCTCTATGTGAAGATCACAGATTACAATGCTCCCAAAATTATAATAAACCAAATTGTGCTGCCAGATTGTGTAGTGGTCGTGGAGCTTATTTTACAGAAGAAATGCCCTTGGTTCGAATCCCGGACAAGGCATGGATGTTCTTTTGTTCTCTGTACTATAAGTCCTTTCTGTGGGAGCCACGTGGTAACCCTGATAAAGTGATCAACAAACCCGCCCTACTGATACCTGAATGAAGAGTGTCATTTGGATGGGAATTGGAAATAAATAAATGAATAATTAAACAGAATTGATTGCAATTATGTAAATCACATGGGCAAGTTGCGTGGGTGGGAGCTACATGAAATAAATAACACAGAAAATATGCATTGACTCATCTGTATGACAAGATCTGAAGAATAATTTAAGCAACTACATGTCTCCATTTCAAATTTTTTTATGGGGTTAATCAATATCAAAGCAAAACACTTAAGGTTTTTTAACAGTTTGTTATTAGCTTGGTTAATCCTTTATGGGACCATTCTTTTCTAATAGTGTTTTGTTATCTTTTTAGACTATTGTTTTGATGGGAAGGTGGACGGAATTTTCAAAATTTTATCTACTGTTATGAATTATCCATAAATTAAAATTTCTGCCTGAATAAATAACGGAATTTATAAATTCTTTGCGTAGAACTACAAATAAATTTGAAGAGAAATGAAGAAATGAACGGAAGTGCATCACACAAAAGAAAATAGCTCTCCTGCACTGGCCTCTCTTTTTGACAACACGCCCACCTTTACTGTTACTCACATTTATGTAAACGATGTTTTGACGGTTGAAAGACCTTATGGACAAATATTTATCACATTTTATTACTCGGATTCTGTCCAAAATACTTGTTAAAACTAAAATAACTCGTTGACATATAATTTTATAAAATATTTAAAATTGATACTCCCTCTTATTTTGTCATTCACCATCTATGGCCATATTTGGCATAAAAACATTATTAAATAAAAAATTAAACCAATTTATAGCTATAAATAAATTCTTTTTGTTAAGATGTCTTACTTGTTTAAGTATCAAGATTTTTTCGTATTATAAAAAGTTATTAAATTGAAAATTAAAATTTGTTTAATAATAAATTAAAGCAAATTATATTGCTAAAAAAACTAATTTTGATTAATTTAAACTATGTAGAAATGCATAAATCATTATTAAATAAATAACTTAAATACTTAAAACGATAAATACATTTTTATGGTTAAAAATTGAATTTTTTTTTAAAATTCTAGCATCGAACAATTGAGTAACTTGAATAGGGTTGGTAAATTTTACGATTAATAGTTTTATGGCTAAAAATGGAACTTTTTTAAGCTCTATCATTGAACAATTGAGTAAATTGAATAGTGTAAATAAATAAGTGCATTAATGCAACAGAAATAGTTATTTTATAATTTTACTGAAGTTACTTTAATAAAACTTTATTTTTATCTACATCAAAAAGATCATCAAGCCTCGAGAAAACATGCGATAACAAAATTACAACAAGTGAAGTACCAAATAGTAAATATTTTTTCTTCTTCGAAATGATACCATTTGCTCAACTCACCGAAATAAAAAACTTAATAGCAGTAGTAAAAAACTTTGAGGAGAGCAATAATAAGAAAAACCTTCCCTCTTTATCACTATCTAGAGAGACAGAAACAGTGGTTTTTAGTAGCAGCTAAACAAAATTGTTTAAAAAAATGTCTTTTTTTTCGAGCAATCTTAATACTCTTGAAAAATCTAAACTTTTCGAAGAAAAAATACTTTCGAAAAGAAAAGTAATTTAAAAATGTATTACAAGTAGAACAAAATTTATTCAGCTTATTAGTAAACTGCTGTTTGTAGAAAATGCAACACCATGAAAGAATCATCAGAATCAAATGAAATTTAATGCAGAAACGACTTGTACTGATACAAATAAATGATGAAATTTTCAAAACAAAAGAAACAAATTAAGCGTCCGAAATCAGTATTTGGTGCAGCCACCACGCGCTGCAATAAGTGCTGCTATACGACGTGGCATGGAGTCAAACAGATGTTGAATATCTGCTTGAGGAAGAGAATTCCATATCGCTTGTATGCGCAACCAAAGTTCGTCTTTGGAAACTGCAGGACGCGGATCACGAGTGAGACGCCGACCAACCATATCCCACACGTGCTCAATAGGCGACATATCCGGCGAATAAGCAGGCCAAGGAAGAAGTTGCATGCGTTGTGCTGAACAGAAGTCTCTAACAGTCCGCGCAACATGTGGGCGTGCATTATCCTGCTGAAAGATAGCTCCAGGGATGCCTTGAAGGAAAGGAACGACTTCGGGCTGTAGCACTTCACGGACGTATCTGTTGCTATTGAGATTACCCTCAATTCGTATCAAATTGGATCGTCCATGATACGAAATCGCACCCCAGACCATAACTCCGGGTGTTCGACCACTATGTCGTTCAATAATACACTCAGGAAGGCAGCGTTGACCGGCATAACGTCTAACACGAACACGGCCATCATGGGTCCACAAATTGAAGCGTGATTCATCTGAAAAGACAACTTGGTGCCAATCAGCTCGCCAGTCTCTGTGCTCAAGAGCCCACTGCCGACGCAGCCGTCGATGATCCGCCGTGAGGGGAATCCTGTATAATGGCACCCTTGCACGCAATCCACGGCGCAGCAGACGACGACGAATTGACGAAGCCGACAATTGTACACCTGTAGCAGTAGACCAATGTGCTGCCAGCTGCCTGGAGGAAGCTGTGCGATCATTCACCGCCATGCGGAGCAGGTGTCGATCATCGCGCTCTGACGTCACCTTCTGTCGTCCAGTGCCTGTTTTTCGAGTTGTTCGGTGCTCGTCGGTCCACTGCTTCCAAACTCGCATCACTGTGGAACTGTTCCGCTGCATACGAGCTGCTATTGCGCGATAGGAAAATCCTCCTTCTCGAAGGCCGATTATCCTCCCTCGTTCAAACTCCGTAAGTTGCTTGAATTTCTTATTCTTCCGTCGTGGAGGCATACTCAGGTCTCACTAAACGTTTGCCACTAACAAATAATCATAGACTATTTTCAACGTCCCGCTACAGCACTTTATTTATACGCTTTCAGCATCAATTCAGAGGGCGCTGCGCGCGCCACGCACGCGCGATGGCTCTGAAACTTTATTAATTTGCATAATATCCTATAATTGACATTTGCTGCGAATTTCATTTGATTCTGATGATTCCTTCATGGTGTTGCATTTTCTACAAACAGCAGTTTATATTTGAAACAAGTAAAATGAATTTTTTAGAATTAAATCTTTCAAAAGCATGCTTTACTTTTAGAATTAATGGCATTTTAATAAGTTCCATACAACTAAAATACCAATGTTACAAAACTAAAACATGCAAGTACATAACAGCTTTTGAAAAAAAAAAACTCAGACTAAAACTCGAATTATTACTTTTATAATTTACTTTTGGTAGACGTTTAATAAAATTTTTGTATGTAAAGTGCTTTACTTTGTGCTGATTTCTTTTATTCAACTTTATTTAATTGAAATTTTCGTTAATTAACTATTTTACAATTACAATGTTCCTAAATTAAGCATTTCTCCAATTAAAAGTTTCTTTATGAAGGAAAAGGTTAAAATAATATTATTTAAGTGTTAGAATGTTATCATTATAAGCAATTAATTATAAACTTTCTCTTATCCTTACTCGCTACCTAATTGAAAAAAATAATTTGTATTTTAAATTGTGTTCAAAACTCTAAACGGTATTTTACATCTTTTATTTTTTCCTATTTTATATCATTTTCAAAGAAAATTGTATTCAACGTATTGAATTAAATATGTTAGATATGTAATTTTTATTGAATATTTGAATATTAAATTTATCATGAATAGAAAACTTATAAAGGGGCATTTTCCTTCTAATAAATTGTTTTCTAATTTTTGTTGGATTCCAAATTGAAAAAGTATTAATAAGCGATAATTAAAACTAATTAGCAAAATAAAAATAACTCCCAGATAAACTCTTTGAATGAAATTTAATTAAAATAATTAATTCATCATCCCAAATTAACAAAGTTCAATCTTTAAGCAATACAATCATGAAATAAATTGTTGGATACACTGGTAAAACAATGCATAAAATATTGAATTATATTACATGGAGTGTATTTATAAATGGAGGCAAAGTTAATCTAAAAAATAATACTGTTCAATAATTAATAAAGCATTATTGTTTGGATGATTAACATATATGTTTTTCATATTCTCCAGTGAAAGATATCCTTATTATTGTTTACACTGCATTGCATGAAAAAAGGCCCTCACATAAAACATGGCATATTCTCGAATCTGAATATAACCCCTGTTTTTTCACATCATTCATTGTTTTCTGAGAGCACCTCTCCCCCTATATTTATCACTTTAGGATAATTTTAGTGCCATGAATTTGATTTGAAGGGAGAAAAAGGATTATTTTTACCATTGAATTTCTTGTGATAGACAGGAGAAGGGAAATTTCTTTATTTACATAGCAAGTTTTTTCTTTTTTTTTACAAATGAATTTTTTTTGCCAGTTTCTAAACTGTTTCCTGTAAATTCCTGCTTGAAATTCTTTTTCCATTCCTCAACAACCTATAAAAACTAAAAATTTAGCCAGAATTTAAGCATGTAATGGGTGTAGGGAAAGAGATTCGAAAGCCACCCTTTAATTAAGTTTCTAAATTGAATCCTTAGAGTCTCAGGACCTCTCCCAGGTAGAAAATTATTACTTTAATTGTTGAATATCTTCTGAGGGCCAGAGAAGTAAAAAGTTCGAATGCGAGGAGGTGGCGAGGCTGCTGTAGAGAGGAGGTGGATAATCGAGGAGGGAGAAGGCATTTTTTTTATTTATTACTTACTCAATAATTGGAAATACCTGTCTATCACCCATACAAAGAAGAACCAACTAATATTGATGGGCAAATCATGAAAGGAAATAGGGAAGTCTTACCAAAGTCGATGAAAGAAGACATGTTTTGAAAGAATTCATAAAAAACATCAGGGAGGAAGAAGAAAAGAAATAAATAAATGAAATAAAATCTAGAAAAATATTGTTTTGGCCAAACATGGGTATGGGCATTGAAAGAAAAATTAATAAGTGTGAAACATGTCAAAAATTCCAATACAGATAATAAGCAGAATCTTTTATCTAAAGAGAAAATAACTTAAACATAGAATTGTATTGGAAAAGATATTTTTTATTTCAATTGAAAATATTATTTAGTTGTTTACAATTCATATTCAAATCATCCTGAAATTAAAAAAGTTTATGATTTATCATCTAATATTGCAATTAAAATAGGTTATTTTAAAAATAGGTTTGCAAGAGATGGAATTCCCAAGGAAGTTCTGAGTGAAAATGGTACACATTTAGATTCTAAAGAATTCAACAATTTTGTTAAATCTCATGAGTTCAAACTGACCACATTTAGTTCACATTTTCCAAGATAAAATGGACTTTCAGAGAAAGGAGTTCAAATAGTTAAAAGATTCTTGAAAAAATCTTAAGACTTTGGTACTGGTTTTCAACTTGTTTTACTGAACTAGAGCAACGCCATTCGAATGTCACCAGCTTAACTTCTGATGAACAGAAATTTAAGAGCAAGATTGCCTTTCAATCGGGAAGGAATATCTTCCAAGGAAGAAGAATCCGCTTCCCTTCAAAGTCAAAGTATTGAGGCCTCTAAGTAAAAATGGTGTCTGTATTTAGAATGAAAAATTATGGCCAGTTAAAACTACAGTTATAAAGGAATTAGTTACTAGATCGTATGATGTTCTTACTGAAAATAACAGGATTCTAGGGAGAAATTTTCAACATCTAAGAGAGAAGAACAACTTCATATTCCAGATGATAAACTGGATCAACCCTCAACCAATAACACAGGTCAACAACCAATTACTAGATGCAAGACAATAATACTGCAGATCCAAAAGGATAACCATCGAATTCTCATGATTAATTCAGTTGCAAAGCAACTTCATCAACACCTACCGATACTTCTCCAGAAACGGTGAGTAATAACATTTATTGTATTTCGTTAAGAAGATCAACTCGAATCAGATAACTATCAGAAAGTCATAACTATAAACTTAAAATATTTCTAAAGTAGACACTTTAAAACATTTCTAAAGCAGTCATTTAAAATTTGGGGAATCGAGTTCAAAAAATTTATTAATTTAAAGTTATTTCTAGTGTTTGTTTTCTATATACTGTTATTTTCTTACTATACATAAAAGTCTAATGATGGTATAGCAGGTTTTCATTGTTGTCAATACATTTTTATTGGCTGGAAAATCACATCTTAGTATCTAGTTTTACCCACAATAATTTTCATATTGGTTTAATTGTCATTAGCATAAAATTGATACAAGTCATGCATTTGTGGCATAACTAACTACCACTACAAA